CGGGATGGGTTTGTGCTGTGTCAAGAGTCTGAAGGCAAATTGCGTCCCATAGTTTATGCCAGCCGAGGGTTGACACCTTCAAAGAAGAACTATCCAGCCTCACAAACTGGAGTTCTTAGCCCTCAAATGGGCAATTGTTGAGAGATTTGGAGCAGCCCGAGGTGCCAGAGTCTTTACAGATAACAACCCCCTGACCTATATGTTGTCAACATCAAAGCTTAATGCAACAGGGCACCGCTGGCTCGCAACCGTGACAACATTTGATTTCACCAGGCACTACAAGCCGGGTCACAACAATCAAGATGCTGACGCGCTGTCTCGTCGGCCTCATGTGACTGCTACAGGCATGTCTTTCGAACAAGATCAAACGGAAGAATTCATATTCTCCAAGCAAGACTTCGAGAAGAGATTGATGAATCAAGTCCTGCTCAAGTCTTAGGAGACTCTTACAATAATGAGGTCCCGTCACCACCAACAGAGAAGAGTTGCCAGCCACTAGCATGTTCTCTGGCATTGAGTGCAGAAGCAGTCCCCCTCGATTATGACCGCCCGGCAACGCTGTCAGGTGTGGAGGGGGGAATGGATTGGAAAAAAAGAGCAAGCTGAGGATGACGGTATCAGACAGGTTGTGGAGTTTGTTACTAATCACAGGAAGCCCAAGACCCATACCATACATACATCCAAAGAGATCAGACTGATGCTAGGTCAGTTTAATAAGTTGGTATTAAGGGATGGAGTGTTGTACCGTTGTGACAGTGACTCACACGGGAAGGAGTCATATCAGTTGGTACTGCCTACTAAGTTCAGGGAACGGGCCATTATTGGACTTCACAATGAACTTGGTCATCTTGGGGCTGAGCGGGCTGTGAGCCTGGCACGCCAAAGGTTCTATTGGCCGAAGATGGCAGCCAGAAAAGAACAGTGGGTATCAAACTGTGCAAGATGTGTGTCGTACAAAACACCCCAGAAAGTAGCATCCCCTTTGGTAAACATCACAAAACCTATCCACTTGAATTGGTCTGCATTGATTTTCTGAAATTAGAGCACAGTACGTCCTAGTTGTGACAGATCACTTTTCTTGTTAAGCGCAGGCTTTTCCAACAAGAAACAAATCTTCACGCACTGTTGCTCATGTGCTCTGGGAGAAATACTTCCTGCACTATTGTTTACAGCACCGGATTCATTCTGACCAAGGTAAAGAGTTCGACAACACCTTGATCAAGGAACTTGCCAATCAACTGAGAGTGAAGAAGTCAGGACTTCACCGTACCGTCCTCAGGGTGATCCTCAACCTGAGCGGTTTAATCACACACTCCTGAGTATGCTCGGTACTTTGCCTAATGACAAGAAACACAACTGGAGCAAATTCGTAGGCCCAGTAGTGTATGTGTACAATTGCACACGCAATGAGAGTACTGGTTTCTCACCGAAGTACATCATGTTAAGATCACAGCAAGTATGTTCAGGGGCTACGCCAAACTCTAAGGCATGCATAAAACTTGCTTCTGAGGAGTCAGCCAGGAAATCTGCATCACATAAACTGCGCTATGACCTCAAGGTGAGAGGAAATGACCTGAACGTCGATGACCGGGTGCTGGTTCGAAGAGTTAGGTTTAGGGGTCCAATTAAGCTGGAAGATAAGTGGAGCAATGCAGTGTATCGAGTTGTTGGTAGTCTAAGTGATGGGATTCCTGTCTACAAACTTAGGCCCGAGGATGGGTTGGGCCCTTTGAAAGTGTTACACTGCAACATGATCCTTCCAGTTGGGGTCCTCGCGGGGGAAGCAGATCCTGTTCGTGAGGCAGACACTCCAAGGCGACCAGTGACCAGACACTCCATGCAGCAACAACCTCAGCAGGTTGATCACACCCCTAAAAAGGAGGTTGATACATCTGAGCAGGGTGACTCTGTTGTTGTCACCATCTGTGAAGACGACCCTAGTGTTGGGATAACCCCGACTGGTGTGAGTCCCCTGCAGAGCATAGATGGTGATGACAGTATCGATGAAACCTCCATTGATTCTCCTCTAAGGGCTGATGCTGCCCCTTTCGTTCCCCATTCATCGCCCGGTAGCCCCCAGGGATTCACTCCATCGTTCCATGAGGTTGGTGACGCTCCAGTACATACATTTGCTGCTCAACTTTCTTCAAGTGGGACTGAACATAAAGTAGAGACAGACAGTAATACTGAGGTTTGTTCTGACACTGGAGGTCATCACGATGATAGTCCATCAATTGTGGAATTTCCTCCTGGAGTGGTCTTTGAGGAACACAGAGACAGTGTCGATGAGGAAAATTGTGAGGTAGAACCACCTTCGATGGGAGGTTCCGAGCTTTGTCCTGTTGTGGCTGGAGGAGGTACTGATGAGGTTCTTTTCCTGAGTACTGGCGATGTCAATGTACCGGAACAGAGTGATGCATTAAATGTTGGTACTGAGGTGGTGGTTGGATCTGATGTTGAAAGTGGTGGTAGTTCAGATACCAGGGAGGGTGATGAGCCACAGATTCAGACCATACCTCGTAGTCCTAATACTGAGTTGGGTTCCCAAGTAGCACAGGAAGATAGTGGAAGGAGTGAGGGTGATGGGACACGTCCCTCCAGGGACCGAGGACCTCCTAAGCGTTTCACCTACGAGGTGTTTGGCCAACCAGCATGCCGTAAGCTGAATGTTAATGCATTAGAGCAACGGCTACTGAACTTCTGTAAACCATTATTCCTGCCTACAAGGAGGAGCTGCATCGGGCGATACAGCAGTTTTAGGAGGGGGAGACGTAGCCCTTTGCAAAATGGTATAGCGCCCTCTTGTGATGAGTGGGACAGCGCGCCTGTTCGGTCACTCATTTGCTTGAGGCCATGTTTTTCGTGTGATTTCCTCTTGTTACGCCAAAGTTTTGCAAATATAAAGCCGATTGTTCTTGATGCGATTAAGCCTGTGGCTCTCAGTTTACACCCATGATTGTAATTGCAAGGGTTGTTGACCTACATCGTTGGTGTAGAACAATAATATAGTGTAGTGTGGAGTTCCCACAAGGCATCAAATCACTGGCTGGTGGCAGTCAAGTTGAACTGTAGCTGATATGAGTGGGAGGCCACTCTAGATAGGCCATTGACCTCTGCCCTCAGACCTGAACCCTTGTCAGCAGGAATCACAGGCCAGGGGACCTCTGCCCTCAGACCTGAACCGTGGTCAGCAGGAATTACAGGCCCGGCTGTGCAGTTCAATTAGTGTGGGCCAGATCTACATTGCTGTACCTGAGTTCAGAGGAGGAACCACCAAGCAGATTTCAAAGGATCCTCAAAGTGGGACTTGTGCACCAGCAGCACCATCTGAGTTGACGAGGAATTCCGCGTTATGTGAACTGAATTGCTGATTCTCAAGCCTCCCTAGTGTTTGGACACTGACTGTTATCAGAGTCAAAATTGTAGCTAAACCGGTTGAATAGGTCTTTTTTCTTCTGCGCGCATATTTTTTTATTTCAGATCTCAAAGAACTACTGGCCATATCCTTCGATTAATTATCAAGGTTGTTATTATTAAAGTTCATTAAAGGATGAAACATTTTCTTGTATTCTAAATTTGGCGAATCTAGTTGGTGGTTCAATGTTACAGTGTAACCGCTGAACACACAAGGCTCCAACAGCTTACATACACTTTTTATTTCCTTGCGTTCTGAGTGTTTTGTAAATCTGAATTACAGCGGTAGCATACGTAGGCTTAATACTTTTCCAAGAAAAAATATAGGGTTAGCCACCTCAGTGAAGATCCACAAAAGTCTAGAAGGCAAGATACAGACAATTATAGATTATGCAAAACTTCGCGGCTGTACAGAATACCTATCTTAGAAGGGTGACCTCGTTCCGATAGAAACGACGTGTTTGGATGTACCTGCCCTAAAAAAATATAACTTTTGGGAGTGAAAAATCCCAGATAGCCGTCATGTACGCTTCACTGTGAATGAAACCTCTTGTATAGTATGGTGCACCGTTTCCAAAGGATATAATTCCACAAAACCAAGCCAAACTTAAGCAAAACCAAACACTGAACACATCACTCCAGACTATGAGCATAAGTATAAAAGCATTCTCTAGATAGTGCACAATCGGAAAACAAGTACTTTTTCCGAGTATAATAAAACCAGTCGAAGTATTATGCAATTAAAAACAGTCCACTACTTCTTCCTCGGGCAGTGTGTCAATATTTAGTTGTTACGTATGCAGTAATACTACCAAACTTTGATCCAAAGTTTGGCATGCACCAGCCTTGTTTGTGCTTCAAACTAATATCATGGTCCAAATCTATCTATCAAAATGTTGAAACTTTCGACGAGCTCTCTCAGCAGGTCAACTATTGAAGCATCATTATCGGGTTTTGTGAAATTTGGGGGATTTGGGAGTAGAAAGTCAATGAGGATTTTTGATTTCAATGAAGATTTTCACTCAGGGCTTCAGTTTATTATTGTTTAAAGATTTCATACTCATTTTCGAATCGGTTTTTGAGCTGCTAATAAAGGTAGCTTAATATGCCTGTTGATCTTCTATTTGTTCACAAGGGTAAATTTCAGATTCGTCCTATACGTCTCTCATCTTTTTGCGCCCTGCTACATAACTGGTAGTAGTCTTGGGCCAAGACAGCAGAACTGGATAGCAGACACCATCGAGCATATGCCGCGCGCTGATTTATATTAGGCCCTCTCGTGACTTTATTTCACCAATCGACGGCTATCGAGTCCACTATTGAGTTCTGCCGTCTTGGCCAAACACTATACTGGCAGTGGATGAGGGCAAAGAACTCATTTTATTCATGCGTAAATGTTGATATACAGTAGTTTATACCTTTAACCTTTCAAAAGCATGGCAGACACGATAGGAGGGCGCAATTTGGTTAGGGTTAAATGTTTTGCGTTTGCTCTAAATTTACCTACTTCAAATAGCGCCTTCTTATTGTGTCCACCATGCTTTAAAAAGGTTCATGGAAACCCGTCGCGGTTCAACCCCACTTACCTTCTGATGTACGTTGGCTGTGTTTCGTTGATGCTAGAGCCGAAAAAGTTGTCCAGTAGATGTTTTTCAGAGAGTTCGTACGCAACCTTCTCGATATAGCGATCGTTGCATGTTAGTGGGGATTGTGTTGGCACTGCAGTGCACCTGGACAAGGAAAAAAATGAGCTTCGTTATTTTGGGCAAACTGGCGATTGGTGAAGATCAGACATAAATTGTTTCAGCTTACGGACGCTCCTAGACCTCTACGTACTTGCAGTGCAGATACATAATTTTACGTACTGCCCGTAACCCCGTTATGAAGGCAAGCATTTGCACATTAAATTGGAAATGCGTTGTTAACATTGTGGTGTTTCACACAAAGGGTGGATATTATTAAGCCAGAAGTTAAGGCATTCAGAGATCTCGATCAATTGCATCTACTTCAGTGATTTTTCCCCTATTTTTAAAAATCTTTCCTGCAGTGCATACAGTACTGTTGTTGGTAGGCCTACACCTTACGAGAAACTGTCAGAATAATTATCTCGCAAATAGTTACGCATGTACTAGAGTGCCAAGAAAAGGAAAACGCCTACATGTGACAACACACAGAACATTGATACGTTGATACAAAAGAAAAAAAATGGACTCAGGGCGACCGTGATTTACCTTCGAATTATTCCCAGGTGTCAATCAGCAATGAAATTGTAACCAAAAAGAAAACCCCAGGCGTCTATTAAAAAGTTTGCCCAAATAGGTTAGAACACTATTAAAAGTCAAAGGGAAAGAGCTTAAATTATCAAGCACGGAGCATCCTACTGTGACTGCCAGCCCACCAAGGTACAGAACTCAAGCGTTGGAACTGTTACTGAGAAAAGCCCAGAAAGTTCTCAAGTCCCTCTTAAATGTAATACAATGAAAGCGACTTCGGGTCGAAAGAGCGAGGCTTTGAGACTACGTATTAAGTGTGCGCACCACAAGGGTCGCTTAAACCCTTGCCGTGATCTCGTGTCAAAGATCCGTAGGCCATAAATCATATTCACATCAACAGTAATTATCTCACCGGGGAATCCCCTACATGCATATCCCCAGCTGTGTTAATACATATTTTTTTCAAGTCTCTTCAAGTCAAATCCTACACGTTGCTTTACTGAAATGTTTCCTTTTGCCATTTATGGTTCCTTTGATCTGAGGAATTTTTGTAGGAAACTAAAGCAAAGTCCTAAAAGTATTCGGCAAAACTGAGGCATGCGAAATGTCATAGTCCATGACTGCAAAAATAGTTATGGCATAAATACAATGTATAATGACAAAACTCATTTTAAATAACATCAAATAGATATTTGATGTTATTCTTTTATAGTATCAAAAAGGTGCCAATGCAGTCCCAGTTGTAAAGAGGCAAACATAAGTTCCTGTTCTGCAAGTTGGATGATTGGAATAATTTCTCGAAAACTCCAATTGTGGATGGGATGACGACACCAAAAATGCAAAATAATTTCGTTTGTGCCACACAATTTCACAAAGTAGTGAAAAGGGTATGCATGCACTTTTCACAAGTTTACGTAAACCTGTATTCAATTTATGTCAGTTTGTGTCTGAAATGTACATCTTTTATTTGATTCTATTCAAGCAATGGTTTCACTATCTCACATCTAAAAGACACTTGACGTAAACCTCACTTTACCTCTATCAGTGTTGCAGTCAAATAATATTCGAGTACCAAGTTCTCTACGACATTTGGAACTATAGTTTAAGTACTTATTGAAAAAAAAGTGGCCTGAAGGAAAAAAAAGACAAGCAGGAAGAGGGTCAGAAAGATGGAATCGTACCAAGCTATTACACTGGCGTAACGAAGCAAAAGCTAGTGACGTACAGGGCGCATGTTTCGTTTGTTTCCTGGTTTTGTTTTATTGTTGAGTACACAACTGTCTGGAGACGTGCCCTTTTCTATTGGTCTTTTCGCTTCGTGGAAGCTTTCCGTGTTGAAATTAATATTCGACTTCATTTCCCAAAGAAAATCCTCTGGAGTCGCGAATGCTGCCTTTTTCCAAGTCGAATTTCCCAGCGTGTGATATGAAAAAAATTGCTTGGAGGGCGCAGGGCTGGCCGGGTACCTGGATGCGGTCATGCATTTGTGAATTTACGGAGACGTTGTTTTCTGGTTAAAACAATGATATTTGTGGAAACAACGTAGACGAAGATGTCTACCTACGCTTTTTGTTTGACATTGGCAAGTTCAGTTTTTATTTCATGTTTAATACGTATGTCAGGGGTTAACATGTTTTCTCGCCTGATCAACGGAGTATGCAGTTGCTACTAGACTAACCCATAATGGCGTACTGCTTGCTTATAATCATGTGCATAACTTTTTCTTTCGACATTTGTCACAGTCGGAAGGATGGCAGGTTAAAAACATATTTGTTTTAGCGATTCTTACATTTTAGCATACAAGATGCCTCAGAATAAAATTCTGTCTGCACAAAAACATTACCTGTTACTCGCATTAACAGGAAATACGAGAAAAATAGCGAAATCAGCTTTGTGAAAGTGGTTTTGTGCACAAGAGTCAATATGCACATTTATATTAATTCATTGCACAGTCACAAAATGCGTCCGTTACAAAGATTATCTGTTACTTACTGATACATTTGACAGAAAACGCATTGTAGCACAACACATTTTTAACGTGTGCTGCATGCAACTGCTGAATGTACGAACTGAGTGGTCAGCTTCACAAGGATTTCCCCTCGGTGCATTTGTACTCTTGCAACCTGCTCATTGACTTATGCATATAGGTCGGAGACTATCGCAATGTGTTTGCGGCTTTGTGTATAAGGGTAGGGGGCCAACAAATTTAAGCATCGCTTTAGTACAGAACAGCGATTTTTGCGCTCCAAAGTCGCATCGCTGAAGCTTAGGTCACGGTGTCGTTACTCCAGGAGCCCCCGATTCAAAAGGCTTCGTGAAGTGTACCAAATCGTGGACACATATTAACGGTATATATCTGCGCGAATCTGGAAGAACCTAGGCTGGTCCTTTTAGGTTGCAGATGTCAAGTGTTCCCTGTTACTTGCTGTGCAAATCTGTGTGATTGTAAAATCCTCCCCACATACACACGCCTAATCCTTGTACAAACCTGTGTGAATTCCTAATGTTCACGAGGAAATGAAATATTTGCTGCAAAAACCTTTCCCAATAGAAGACGAGATATTTGCTGTAGAAAAATATGTGAATGTCGAATATCCAAAATCAAAATAACTTCACTGTCATCAATGACAACTGCACGTAGCCGAGTGTGATCTGAGATCTACTTTTGACGCGTGCGTGTGCATTGAGAAACAGAGTTTATGCAAAGAGAGGTGCTAAGGTTGTAAATGACCCCATTTTGGTATTGTCTATTTAAGCATCCAACCTTCTTTAAAATTGGTCATACTCGACTAAACTGAGGAGTAATGTGAACTGTTAAATAATTCTTAGAGTTTGGGGAATTGGTGCTTCATCTGGAGAAAAACAATGGTTTTGCAGTATTGCCTTGGAAATTCGATTACTGCACACGTCTTTAATATTTGACCACAAATTCTGACCAAGTAATTAAAATGTGAAACTTCAAAAAATTGCCAAATTACAACGAAATCTTCTCTTCAAAATAAAGAGATATTTTCGGGAGGGGTTGTTATAATGGGCTTATATCAATAGCTTCCCGTCAAACGCAATCTTCAAACATTTGGGGACAAAACGAAAAATCGTAATAAATTACTAATCTTACCTTGTGATCCACGTAATGAGAAGAGCCAGTGCCGTGCACCGGCTAGCGATGCACACCATCGCTACACTTCTGATGTTCCGTACTCTCCTTCACGTTTCTTTTCCCCGTAGGTCAGATTCTGGCTTAACACCTAAATAACCGAGTCTCTTTGCTTTACTGGGAGCGAAACGCTTGTCAAGCTTGCGGTAGAGAGGCGAGGGGCTTTATACGGAAATGATGCATTCATTAACTGTGTACTTCGGGTGTCGTGACTGGCCAAATGAGAAAATGCTAATTTGAAAATAAAACAGCTATCCCGTTGAACAAATGCACGCAATTAAAAACTGGCTAGCTGATGCACTGCAAAACCTACGATGTTAAGTTTTAAACACCAATCGTTTCTATTCTGTTGAAATGGGATTTGGTGTTTTGGAATAGCAAAATAATTCCTTAGGCTTTGAAATTGAAAAGAAGAAGCGATGGTACATAGCCTTGGGGTCAAACTTGTTTTACAGCACATGGGTCTCTGAAAAGAAGCCTTCTAATTGGTCGATATAAAATTATCTACAGAACCAAACACAAATTACATTTTATCCAGCATAGTAATCCCATACCACAGTCAGTAGGCTTAATATTGGCGCTCCATATACCCAGTGTTCCCTCGTGAGGGCCAACTCCATACATGCACATGTACGTAAACCTGGTTTGTTTAAATGATTCCCTTCAATTTTGGCCAAAACACTCTACGTGTACATTTGCATGCCGGTCGTTTTTGAAAGGGGTAAAATTGACAGTAAAAACGTTCATACATTTCTTGCCTATATGGGGCTATCTTCAGAAAAATACAATGGTTTCATAATTTATTGCTTCTTAACAAAGGCCTAGGCCTACGCTACATAGGGCCAGGACCCTAACTCTGTGGTAAATGTATATGCAGTACATACAAGTGGTCTGTATTGGTCTATTGTTTTAAAGTGGGTATTAGAGTTTGAAGATTACTGACCCCTGTGACTTATTCATTTACTTGCAATTCCCAGCTCCATAGGTTTTTACCCAAGAACTGCAAGTGACATTACCCTGGAAATAATCTCCAGTGAATCAGACAATACAAGCAGATCCTCCTCACCCAAAGATACCAACAGGTGGGTCTACCCAGTGGCTCTATGACACTTGTTCTTTCAAGTAGTTCCAATGGAGAATGATTATGTGACATGTTTGAATTAAT